TCGCCAGGTGCAATAGCACGGGTGACCTCTACCCATTCTTCCCAGCACCATCCAGCACTCCCACTACCCTCGCTGCCACCGCATCATCCACCTCACTCTGGCATCGTCGCCTTGGTCATCTCGGACATGCGGCTCTTTCCAAGCTTATTAGTTCCAATGCTATTTCATGTAATAAGCGCCATATTGATCATGTTTGTCATGCCTGTCAGCTAGGTCGCCATGTGCGCCTACCTTTTAGTGTGTCACACTCTCGCGCCGCACATCCTTTCGATTTAATACATTGTGATCTTTGGACTTCTCCAGTTGTTAGTGTGTCGGGCTATAAATATTATTTAGTCATTCTTGATGACTGCGCTCATTACACCTGGATGTTCCCATTACGCCTCAAGTCCGATACTTTCAGTGTCCTTTCTAACTTTTTCTCATATGTGCGCACGCAGTTCGACTCCACCATCAAGGCAGTTCAGGGCGACAACGGCCGCGAGTTTGACCACTCCTTGGCCCACACGTTCTTCCTCACTCATGGAGTCATCTTCCGGATGTCGTGCCCATACACCTCTCAGCAGAACGGACGTGCCGAGCGCACCCTTCGCACCGTGAACAACATCGTGCGGTCCCTTTTGTTTCAGGCCAGCCTTCCTCCGATTTATTGGGCTGACTCACTCCACACTGCCACCTACCTTCTCAATCGTCACCCCACCAAAACCCTAGATGTCCGCACCCCTTTCTTCGCTCTTTACGGCACACAGCCTTCCTACACTCACCTTCGAGTTTTCGGCTGTGCCTGCTATCCCAACCTCTCGTCCATAGCTCCACATAAATTATCACCTCGCTCCTCCTTGTGTGTTTTCCTCAGGTACTCATCCGATCACAAAGGATATCGATGTCTCGATCTTCATTCTAATCGGATCATTGTCTCCCGTCATGTTGTATTCGACGAGACTTTGTTTTCGTTCTCCGAGATGTCCACCACCCCCAGGACCCAAACACACTTGCGTTTTTGGATGATGCTGATGATTCCTCTTTGCCTATGTGGCCAAGAGTTGTGCCTGCAAGTACTCGTCTCCCTGGCGACATGGATGCCGCACCTGGGACCCCTGGCGCCCCCTCAATCGATGCCTCTCCCGTCGGTGGTGTAGTGCCTGACACGATGTCAGGTGCTACCGCGGCCCCCTCAGGTGGCGCCCCTCCCACCGGTCCGGCTGGTGCTACTGCCCTTGCGAACTCAGTGTCCTAGGTTGTTGCCAGCTGTGCTGGATGGACCACCGGCCGCACCACCACCACGACTCCGAAGGCGATCGTTCCTGTCACTAATGCGCACAGCATGCGCACCCATGGCAAGGACGGTTTTCTGCAAGCCGTGGATCGCCTTAATCTCCACACGACGGCTGCGGCTACCACTCCAGTACCTTCGTCTGTCTGTGCTGCTCTTTTGGATCTGGCCTGGCGTCTTGCTATGTAGGCCGAGTTCGACGCCTTGCAGGCAAACGACACCTGGACCTTGGTGCCTCGTCCTCCTGGCATCAACCTTGTCACCGGCAAGTGGGTTTTTCGTCACAAGTTCAAGTCTGATGGCTCTCTTGACCGCTACAAAGCCCGGTGGGTGCTTCGCGGTTTCACACAGCGTCCGGGCATTGATTATGATGAGACCTTCAGTCCAGTTGTCAAGTCAGCAACCATCCGGATGGTACTCACTTTGGCACTGTCTCGCTCCTGGCCGATTCACCAACTTAATGTGAAGAATGCATTTCTTCATGGCACTTTGACTAAGACAGTCTACGGTGCACAGCCGACTGGGTTTGTTGACTCTTCCAAGCCCAATTATGTCTGTCGCCTGAACAAGTCACTCTATGGGTTGAAGCAAGCTCCTCGCGCCTGGCACAGTCGCTTCGCCTCTCACATTACTTCACTCGGGTTTGTTGAGGCCAAGTCCGACATGTCGCTGTTCATCTACTGCAAAGGTGCTGACATGGCTTTTCTTTTACTCTATGTTGATGACATTGTTCTCACTGCGTCGTCTCCGAGTCTCCTCCATCGGATTATCGCAGCACTTCGCCAGGAATTCTCCATGACAGACATGGGGCCTCTTCACCATTTTCTGGGTGTCAGTGTTCAGCGCAGAGGTGATAGTTTATTTCTCTCTCAGAGACAGTACATGCTGGACATTCTGGACCGCGCCGGTATGAGTCACTGCAAGCCGAGCAGCACTCCTGTGGACACTCACTCTAAGCTTTCTGCTAATGGTGTTTCAGTCGCTGATCCAAGTCAGTATCGCAGTCTTGCTGGGGCTCTTCAGTACCTCACCTTCACCAGACCAGACATTGCGTATGCTGTTCAGCAGGTCTGCCTGTACATGCATGACCCTCGGGAACCTCATTTGAGCGCTCTGAAGCGCATTCTCCGGTACCTTCAAGGTACATTGGATCTCGGTCTACAGCTCCACCGGACCTCTCCAGCTGATCTCACTGTCTACACCGATGCAGATTGGGCGGGCTGTCCTAACACACGCAAATCCACCTCGGGTTATGCGGTGTTTCTCGGGGACAATCTCATCTCCTGGTCGTCCAAGCGTCAGCCTACAGCGTCTCGGTCCAGTGCAGAGGCGGAATATCGAGCAGTCGCGAATGGAGTCGCCGAAGCCTGCTGGTTGCGCCAACTTCTGATAGAGCTTCGCTGCCCACTCCGTCGTGCTATAGTGGTCTACTGTGATAATGTTAGCGCCGTTTACCTCTCCACCAACCCGGTTCAGCATCAGCGAACCATATTGAGATCGACCTGCACTTCGTTAGAGAACGAGTCTCCCTCGGTGAAGTTCGCGTCCTGCACGTTCCCACTTCATCCCAGTACGCCGACATCTTCACCAAAGGTTTGCTGACGTCCGTGTTCACGGAGTTTAGGTCCAGTCTCAATGTTCGCGGTGCTCCCAGTTCAGACTGCGGGGGAGTGTTGGAATGTAATATGACGTGTGGGCCTGCCTAGCCTCCCACAATGCCTATATATGTAAATGCTGATCATTCACAGTAATGCATCGAGTATTCCATAATCCTACTCTTTCACATATATCCAAGATCTGTATATGTGCATACCAGATAGGAAATCAAGGCTCATATCTTGATAGTTTAATTTAGTGCAGTCATCAGCCTCTCAAATGAAAAACAAAACATCGCGTGTGGTTGCCCCATGAGTCAGCCTTGTGTTCGACAAATCAGAAATCACAGCATCATCACATCTGCTTTTGGCAGTTCACTTTGTTTTGTTTCTTTCTCCGTCTTTATGTCCTCATCTCTCGACAGCAAGTCGCCAAACCTTCAACTCTTCAAGGTTTGTAGTTAGTATATCGTATAGATTATTAACAGTAAAAGATCGGTGGATTTCATCTCTTGGCTCCTTGCATGGTTCCTGATTCCATTTAGGTCTATTGTTGTTGTTTTATTTTCCAGTCAATGGTAGTTATTTACTTAGGCTAGATCTTATTCTATCTCATCCTCGTAGTGATTGAAATCTAGAACCTAGATAAAAAAAAAAGGCCATGTTTGGATCTCATTCTCATGCTGGTTATTGCATTTGCATAGTGGAAAACTAAAAACCTACAAATAGTAGGTTTTAGGTAAATAATTGGATTCTATAATCTCATCCTAGAATCAAAGTGTTTGGATTCATTGTTATTTTCACACCTCATTCTCAGTTTTCTTTAAGAGATCCAAACAGGACCTTAGTATCTTAAATTGTTAGAATGTTAGAATTCTAAACTTTTAATTTTAGATTAGCATTATCATCTTATTTAAGGTAATCACACTAGTTACTTTATTGGTTTTTAGTTTCTTGTATTATCTTTTAATCTTTTATATAAACTAAATAAATCCAAGGTAACTCTTACTAGTACTACTAAATGCTTTATCATGTTATAAATAAAATATCATTTAGCGTAGTGTCGTGTTTAGTCTTAGAACCGTAGAGATAGGCGAGAAGCCATTGCTTGGCTTTCTCAACCACCCTTTTGAACAACGAGGCAGGTGAAGACTCGATGCTGACAAGAGATGCGTTCATTCCTTCGTTCCTAAATAGACAATCATATAATAGCACACGAAGAACATGAACCAAGGGACTCAATAGTCAATATACTCGACCACACAACAGTACAACCAGACCACAAGTTCACCACAACGTCAAACCACACAAGTTAAACATATTACAACAGTAGGAGTTCCAGCATAGCAAGACGCAAGACAAACATATTGTTACAGCAACAACAAACACATTATTTTCCTTCCTTCCTGCTTCAGATTGCTCTATTGTAGTTTCTTCGCAACCAGAACCAATGCAAATAAGATTGTGGGAACCTGAAGTGGATATATCATAGGTCACTTGGTTCCAACAGTATTCTTTACAACCAAACAGCTCCAAACTGAACATTTACAGAACAGTATCATCGTACAGCTCCACTGTAGCAGCACAGATTACAGTTCAAGCACATATAGCATATTAGCACAACATGCTTGTCACAGTACAACTAAAACCAAGCTTTTTCAAAACTATCACTTGATATGCTATATAGCCTACCATGATTAATCTTTTCCTTCAATAGAAAATGCTAAGAATGGCAGGGAGCCTCTTATCCATCACTTTTCGTGCTATCTTGCTCATAGTTTGACTTGGATAGAAGGACCAAGGACAGCCAATGATCTAAGAGATAAAAGCTGATCTATATATACTATACAAAACGCTGTTGCATCCATCTGTATGAATGTATCTCCAATGCAAAGAATCAATGTTACTCCTGTTCTTTGATGTACAATTTGTATTCATTTTCTTCTTTTAGGGAGTGTTGAGCGATAGTTCAACCTGCAAAGGAAACAAGAAATTTTAATTAGAGAATTAGAAACTCAAAGAAATTAGGCATGAAGCCAATAACATGACCTAACTAAAACATGCAGATACCAGTTGCAAATGAAAGGAATTTAGCACAATAATTGTTGCCATCAACGTTGGTGTGATATTATTTACTTGCCTGAGCTTCTGAAGAACCATCTGGCATAGCCATACAACGATGGCCTCTCGGGTGTCGGCGTAGCAGCCTCAAGATCCCACCTCCTGGACCATGTGTCTGTTTCGCTGTGTCCACTTGATGCCAGGGTCTCTGTGACATGCCTCGAAGTCACCGGCAACCCCATCTCAGAAGAACAGCTGCTGGAGCACCCACTCCAGCTGCCAGAGAGCGTGGCCAAAGATCTCAGCCACCCGATAGAGCCCCTGACAGCCTCTGGCACCTCCTTACTATCTGGAACTGGCAGCGGCTTCTGTACCTTAGCGCAATCTGAGTCATTGTCGAGTCGGCCACTCGAGCCCTGGCTCCAACTTCCAGTGGTGCGCCGTGAGGACACTGGCACAACCGCTGCAGTGGCACGATTGCTGGAGCATCCTCTCCAGCTGCCAGATAATCTGTCCAGGGAAGAGCGCAGCCACCCATGAGATCCTCCAACAGCCTCTGCTACTGCCTCGCCAGGTGGAGTCGGCATTAGCATCTGAGACTCAATGTCGTATTCAACTGAGCAGAAGGTCGGAGCAACTTTAGTCTTGTTTGAGGCAGGGATGGTGATAGAGGCATGGCAGGACGGGCAGCATGACGGTGTGGTGCGGCGTAGCCAGCTGATGATGCATGACTGATGGAACATGTGCGAGCACGCTGGCAGTATGAAGAGCGCATCAGTAGGTAGAAACTCTTTGCACATTGCACAGTCGCTCCCAGGCTTCATCGGCACTGCAGGTAGCACGAGCAACTCCAATATCAAACGCTCCACCTCTGGAAGATACGGCGCCGATGGCACCAGTGTGTCCATCCCACCCTTTGGCATCTCAGCAGAGACAGGCATGGATGCTACCAGTTCAGACCCCTCCACTGGCACTTCTGCAGAATGTGCCACAGACGACACAGCTGAGGCAACAGCTGCTGATGCAGCTGACCGCATTCCAGACTCAGAACTGCAGCAAGAGAGGGATGAGCTGGACAAGCGGCCCTGGCGACGGAGACAACCTCGGCGCAGGAGCACGACGCAAGTAGTCAAGGTGATTGTGGCAATTACGACAATGAAAATAATGGCAACACTGGCCCCAATCGATGAAGACTGTGGGTCTGATGCCGGCGGACTAGGTGATCCTGTAAACACCGAAGGCAGAGGTGGAGGTGGGAGAACGGGGCCTGGAAGCATATCTGCAAAATTAAAACACAACTGTGCTTAATAAGGCAAAGATATTCAAATACGGATCTAATCCGTTCTCGAAAAAAATAAGGCAAAGATATTCTGCTAATTCAATAAACTTAGTACATCGAGATTATAGCAAACATATAATAATCCAACAACCAATGGAAGGTAAAATGTAACCAAGCATGTTGTGGACGCTTGTATTTTGCTGGATCGATCTGCATGTTGCACAAAGAAAGAGCTTGGTCTGGAATTGACATCCCTTCCCTTTTGATAAGACAGGGACATGTTTCATGCTTAAACTTTGGTCACAGCAAGAAAGGGAATACAGTTTGGTTCTGGTTCTCAAATTGGATTTAAGTGAGTGCACCTAGAAACATTGGTCCACTGCTATTCAAAAAGGCAAAGAGGAAGAAAATCTCGGTGGAAATAGCTCTGAAAAACAAACGGTGAGTTAGGCAAGTACTTCCAGTATCTATCAACACCGGTTGAGACACAAGAGTTTGTATTACTCTGGGAAGCTATCGGTAGGATCCAGAGATTTAGAGATTCAAGGTCAAATAAACTAGCGATAGACATCTCTCAGAGTATATACAACCTGCAGTGCGTATCTAATACAATTCATGTGGGGACTCTAATAAACTTAGTATCAGCCCAATTTGGTGGCCCAAGGGTGCAACCAGAATGTAATTTTTTCGCTTGGAATTATTGCTTAAAAAGATTTTGACTGCTGAAAACCTAAAAAGAAAATGGCTAGCGAAATAACCCTATTTGCATATTGTGTAACTCTGTGCCGGAGACTTCCACTAACTTGTGCAAAGACCGTCCTTAAACAAGAGTATGGGATACCTTGCTACACAGGAGCAACCTATCTGTGCTACAGAACATCAACCATGGTGGATTAATTTGTAGTTGGTGGTGGAGATGCAGGGCAAAGATTGTTAAGGCTATGAGTAGGCATTTTGATGGCATGGTGATATTCTTCTGGTGGAATATCTGGAATAAGCGCAATTGGAGGACCTTTCACCACCTCAACAAAGCAGCCTCTGGAAGTTGCATTCTTGATTAAGGAGTCGGTTCATCAATTTAGTTTAGCTATGTCAAAGTTTACTCATGGTTGGTAGTCTGTGTGGGCGTTTTCTCTTGTTTTGATGTCGCTCTCTCTCTTGGTTTCGCCAGTTGGGTGGAGGAGAAAGTTGCAGTGGTGCAAGTGTTGTTTTTCTAATTTTTTTTGTTTTATTCTTCTACGAATAAAAATAGAAGTTAACCTCTTGCGGGCGCGTGAACATAGTAGAAAATTCGAAATGCAGCAACCTGATCCCCCCCCCCACCCCACCCCAACCCGGTAACCCCCGAATGAAAATTTGTCATCTACTATACCTAAATAGGAGAACCCCACCATCACATTTCTCTGCGATTCCGTGAAGCCACGTCATCTGGGCCCACTTCTCTTCTCCTTTGGTCAAGGCAGCTGATTGGTCATCAAGATGACCTGCACTAGCATCTGTTCTAATTCTATGTCCATCCACAAGAGCCCCTCAATGTTATGTTTCTTCTCCTTCCAAAAGAAAACGGTCAGTCACCAAGCCACTAATTAAGCAAGGTTTCTCCTTCCCAAAGAAAACAGTCAGACAGTAATCCATTAATTAAGCAAGGCCCTCCACTTCGTGATGGCCTTATTAATCACCCTCCAGGCCTCCACATAAAGCTGTTGTCCGATCATCTCCTATAATCGTTGATCAGCCTATTTATCAGAAGAGCGATAGAGCATCCCAGATTTGCTTCCATGTACGCCATTCCGCCCTCTACACGACCTTGATGCCCAGCTGTGCTTGCGCAATGCATGCACCAACCGGTGGTGGCTATCCACGACAACGGCGATGTGACCATCTCTCCACCTTGCAGTCGCACAGCATTAATTACTTTATCATTGTCCCACAGCACCAATTACCTCATCATCGCAAAAACTGCAGCCATGTTTCGCTCCAATCGTGGTCATCCCCAATCCAATCATTCTATGAAGCTGGTCGGGACTGCCTTCTATTATTAGGAGATCCACCATCATGAGCTCTATCCAGGTATTTTCTTTCTTTCATGGATGCATGATCTCAATGTGTTGTTAATTTATTTAAACCAAGTAGCATCCTACGACCTACGCACAGGAGCACTTTGGAAGTGTTATGCCATTCTGCATCTGTATAATATGGAAATTATGAAGTCAGACTATTTTCTACATTCCCTCCATCATTAACTTTCATCCCTGTTTGTTATGTTGTCTTCTAGATGATGCAAGCCCTATAATGCATTGAAGGATACAAATATCCAATTGGACTGGGGTATCTACTCAATCTCAATCATATAAATAAAAAGAGATGATTCGATTGCAGATTTGAGGCTTAAGGACTCTATGCTATCGTAAAGAGTATCGAGGAATATATTTACTGCTACAGTAATACTGCAATACTTATTATTCAATATGCTTAGATATCTACTTGGCAGTCTCATCAAGCAAAAAGCAAGAGAGATGCATCTGTCACAGCTATTGCATTTTTATTTTTATGTCTCCATTTATTTATTATGTCTTTTGAGTTCTGAAGGCAATGATCATGTTTTTTATTCTGTATGATCCTCTAGATTCTTTAATTTACATTTTAGGAAGTGTTTATTATATTAATTAGTATTTTATATATATACTTCGTACTGTAATTTCACATTTAATCTCGCAGCAACGCACGGGGTATCATCTAGTTGAATTGTAGAGGTAAATACACAGGTCACCGGACATCATTACAAGTTACGATCTTATAAATGAAGTTTACAGAAAAGAAACAACAACTGAGAAGGCACTTAGGCTCCTAAGAACAATGGAATTCAAAAGTCTTTCTAAGAATAAATTTATGCTCAGGAAGATTCCCAGAAAAATTGTGGTTTACGAATTCAGTTTCAAAGTTTGGGTAAAGGGTGACAAAGTCGTCTAAGTTGATCTGTAATATGCCTATACATACACGTACAATACTGAGCACGAAATTATTGATTCCACAAAAAAAAAAAAATTGATCTGTAGGTAAGAATTGGTTGTTCACATCAACAGCTCTAGTTCAACATATGTGCCCCCCAAAAATGAATTTGGCTACGACAACCTAATTGCAATTGGCCTAACTGATCCAATTGGGTGATCGCGTCCTGCTTCTACTCCGACACCCGACTGAATCGAACCAGTTCAATTTTCTCATGTGCATCAAGCGGACTGAGAGCAGGAGCTGGGTAGAAGAGACACAGACACCGACACGCACCTCGAACGTCACGAGGCGGGGACGGTGGGCGACGCAGCGGTGGTGGCGGAGCCTTTTCGATCCTCGGCACTCGCGATGAACCTGTAGGAGAAGGAGGACAACGATTGGTCGAGGGTTAGGGTTTCGCCGCGAAGAGAAGCGGGGGCGGAGGAAAGCAGCAGTGCTAGCGCGGGACGGGGGCATACCCGGCGATGTACGGCCGCGGGGCAGGGTCTGCGGCGATGAGTTGCGACCGTAGCCGAGCCCGAGGTTTTGCCGGCGAGGTCGCGGAGGGGAGGCGGTGGCGGTGGCGGTACCGGTACCGGTAGCGGTGGCGTTGGTGGGGAATGGTAGGCCGGGAGGGAGAGGGGTTTTGGCGTGGGGTTTGGAAATGGTGCGGTACGCGGGACGCGGGAGGGAGAGGAGCAGGACAGCAGGGGCAAGGAAGAAAAGGCGAAGAGGAGGGAAGCGTGAGGTTTGAGGGCCCACATGTCGGTCACACGGACTGTGTTGCGGCAGCCTGCCTGGTCGGGGAGTTTTTGAGGGGCTTTCCGCGCCGCCTGATTGTTCCGGCGCAAGACGCTATTACGACGTAGGATTGGTAATTTGGTGTGGATGCTAAGTCGTCTCAAACGGTCTAACTAACTAGCTAAATCATGTACTCCCTCCATCCCAAATTGTAAGAGTCAAAGTTTTTCAAGTTTGACCAAATTTATATAACAAAATAATAATATTTATCATACCAAGTAAGTATCAATAGATTCTTCATTAGTTATATTTTTATATTATACCTATTTGATGTCATCAATCTTTGTGTTTCTCTCTATAATTTTAGTCAAATTTGAAAAAGTTTGACTCTCCAAGATTCTTGGAATGACTTACAATTTAGGATGGAGGGAGTATTTTACTTATGACCCGTTTGCATCATTTGCTCTAAATTTTAGAGCTCTAAAAACTTTAAAGCACTTTAGCTCGTCTAGAGCTCTAATGTGATATTGGTTAAAGTTTAGAGCTAACTTTAGACTATTTGTTTGGACATTTTAGCTCTAAAGTTTAGAGCGGGTGATCCAAACAGGCCCTTATTGAATCTTAAAAAATAAGAAGCTAACATAGAGTTTAGAGATAAGTTCTTATATTTCACGATGCCTCTCTCACACCATGATATGCCTACGTCTGTCTCTCTCCTCCACGTTTGCTAGTTTAGAGCTGGTGTTAGCTCATATTGTTGGGGACACCATGACAAGACGGAGGATTTGTATCGGTGTATGCGTTGTTGTATAGGTACTAAAATAGTAACATAGATAACATCATTGTTGAGAGGCTAAATATAGATGCCGAGGAATCAAATATGGCTATCGAGGGACAACACTACTAACCAGAAACAGATCGTATCATGCCGGATGTCGCTGATGATTTCTTTGGTGGCAACAGCGGCGATGAAGAAGACGGTGACGATAACGATAACGAATAAACATAATTATTCGTGGCATTATTCAAGCGCTCATAAGGATGAAAACGGACGGAAAATCGCTCTACCGTTTTCGTTTCCATATTTTTAGACGGAAACGGGAGCGAGAGCCGGACAACCGGGAGCGAAAACGGTTACTGGATAAACGGTAATACAAAAACGGGTAAATACGATGGGAAAATAGACGGAAACGAACGGTAAACGGAAACATAAGCCGGAATTACATTTTCAAATATAATAGCCCCAATACATAAGTAAAGGTGAATTAGTAGATATTAAGAAACCTAGCATGATTAGTCAGCAAGTACTATAAATCATTGTTCCGTCTAAACTGCTTAGGGCCTGTTTGGAACGTAGGAATTTCACAGGAATAACGTAGGAATTTTACAGGAATTAGTTCAATTTCATAGAAAAAACACAGAAATAGAAAAAAAATTCGCATTCCAAACAGGCTATTAGCTTGGCTGCTTCCTGGCTGCTAAGTATGGATGAAAACGGTACGGATATTTATTCGACCGTCCGTTCGACCGAACAAATATGAACACTTATTCGGATAGTTACTCGGATATCCGGTTTTTTTTTCGGATACGGATACTAAAACGGATATCTTAGGCGGATATCAAATACGGATGTAATATCATCGATATCCGGCGGATATCGGATAATCCGGATAAGTATCGGATATATCCGGATATTTAAAAACGGATATTATCCGGATATTTATTCAAAATTTAAAAATCACAAATTTGAACCATCCAAACTATCTCAAATGGAAAGTTGACCAAAACAACAATTGTAGATCTTGATGAGTTGAACAAACTTGGTATTCAAAACTTTTCAATTTGAAGTCATTTAGAGTTCATAATACTAGAGTCAAAGTGTTGTTTTTTCATTTGACCAAATTTGACTTGGTCAAACTTGCTCAAATGAGACACTAAATGACCTCAGATGAAAAAAACTTTGAATACCAAGTTTGATCATCTCAGCAAGATCTACAATTGTTACATAGCTCATTTTTCCATTTGAGAAAGTTTTATCAAACACTAGTCATAAATTCTTGAATCTCATAGACTTTCTGAAACTATGTCACACACTTGTGAAATTTGAACTATATTTTATTCAAACTTTCTCAAATGAAAAAATAGCCTATATAAGGATTGTATATCTTGATGAGATGAACAAATTTGGTATTCAAAACTTTTCAATTTGAGACAATCTAGGGTTCCGAAAACTAGTTTTTACACGTCAAAATTTAAAAATCACAAATTTGAACCGTCCAAACTATCTCAAATGGAAAGTTGACCAAAACAAGAATTGTAGATCTTGATGAGTTGAACAAACTTGGTATTCAAAACTTTTCAATTTGAAGTCATTTAGAGTTCATAATACTAGAGTCAAAGTGTTGTTTTTTCATTTGACCAAATTTGACTTGGTCAAACTTGCTCAAATGAGACACTAAATGACCTCAGATGAAAAAACTCTGAATACCAAGTTTGATCATCTCAGCAAGATCTAAAATTTTTACATAGCTCATTTTCCCATTTGAGAAAGTTTTATCAAACACTAGTCACAAATTCTTGAATCTCATATAGACTTTCTGAAACTATGTCACACACTTGTGAAATTTGAACTACATTTTGTTCAAACTTTCTCAAATGAAAAATAGCCTATATAAGGATTGTAGATCTTGATGAGCTGAACAAACTTGGTATTCAAAACTTTTCAATTTGAGACAATCTAGGGTTCCGAAAACTAGTTTGTAAGCATCGAAATTTAAAAATCACAAATTTGAACCATCCAAACTATCTCAAATGGAAAGTTGACCAAAACAAGAATTGTAGATCTTGATGAGTTGAACAAACTTGGTATTCAAAACTTTTCAATTTGAAGTCATTTAGAGTTCATAATACTAGAGTCAAAGTGTTGTTTTTTCATTTGACCAAATTTGACTTGGTCAAACTTGCTCAAATGAGATACTAAATGACCTCAGATGAAAAAACTCTGAATACCAAGTTTGATCATCTCAGCAAGATCTAAAATTGTTACATAGCTCATTTTCCCATTTGAGAAAGTTTTATCAAACACTAGTCACAAATTCTTAAATCTCATACAGACTTTCTAAAACTATGTCACACACTTGTGAAATTTGAACTACATTTTGTTCAAACTTTCTCAAAATGAAAAAATGGCCTATATAAGGATTGTAGATCTTGAATCCATGACCATGACTCCATGAGACCCATGAAGCAATGTGCTTGGCTATTTCTACTCATGCTTGAAGATTAGTGCTTATATGATGTTTGATGTATGATGTATCTGTATCTTTATCTTATTTGTTGCTTTACTCTTTAGTCTTTCGGCTTAATCTAGATGGATTATGGACTCATAGAGTGGTGTAATGGTTTGCGCACGTATGATATATATATATATATACTGCTTTTACTCAATATCCGAATAGATATTTGTATCCGACCTTCTCCGAATCCGATTCATACCGTATTCGATACTCATTATTCGTATCCGTAACCGAGTCAATCCGTATTCGTATATGTATCCGAACGCTATCCGTGTCCGAATCCGAACAGAAATATGAAAACAAATATAATATGAGTGATATCCGTTCGTATCCGATCCGTTTTCATCCCTACTGCTAAGGCTCCTAAGTCTAACCGTACACATACTGCCCACCTGCAGGCTCCGGGCACAGCTACATGCCCAAAAAGCAAGGCGCCAAAGCTAATTACCGAAGACAAAAAACATGACGGCTAATTACATAAGTTTATTTGATGTGGCTAGGGGATGAAAATTGCATAGTACTGTACGTAGGATGCATGCAGCTAGCAGCAGCCTGACACGCTGCAATTCTGCAGTCCTGCATTCCGTCGAATGGCTGGACGGAAAGCCAACCGGGGGGCAGCAAAGTACTGGGCTTATCCCGTTTACAAAGAAAACGAGATGAATACGGGATCATCCCGGTAACATACGGTATACCGTAAATATGGCCGGAAAATCTGTCGTCCCGTTTTCGATCATGGTCCCGGTGCACCCCGTCCCGTTTCCGTATTTTCCCAGAAAAACGAAAACGGTCAGAATAAAATGGTATACGGTTGCGGACGGAACGGGATTCATCCCATCCGTTTTCATCCTTAAGCGCTCAAAGTTACTTACGAAAGGTATAGAAGCCTTCAAGAAAGCAGCGAAAAGCCTTTATACGAAGAGTCAAAGAGTTGTACCAGTGAGTGGATGGTATTTCGATTTGTTCTTCAATTGTTGATGCTAAAAGCTTGATAATAAGGTTGGTTTGATGCTAGCTATAACGTTTTGATGCATCTTCTAGCAAGGTTCATGGGAAGTTCTCTCCTGAATAATAACTTGTTCAAACATCACGTTGTTGTCTTTCTTCTCTATGAGTTTTCTGCACAAAGTTTTCTCATAAAAGGTTTTTCATGAGGCAATATCAATATCCTATTTTTCCATGGGGTTTTTAAAGGGTATATTCTAGGCATCTAGTATGTCATACCTTCTATTTTTCCCAAAGAAGTTTTTGAGAGGATATCAAAGACGACATACATCCCTCCTCGTATTTTTTCCATTGGGATTTAGAAGAGGTTATTCCCATTATGATCCACATATCATACTATTGTTCTCTAAAGAGTTTTTCCTCTTAAGATTTTCTCATGTGAATTTACAATGAGGCAATAAAAATATATGTTGTATCATTTTCTCCTGACTTTTCCATTTGGGTTTTACAAGAGTTTCATCAGCATGTAAATATATCATTCTTCTCATATGTTTCGAAAGGTTTTTGGAGGAGTTTTGATATTCCACGTTGCATTTCAATTTTTTTTCTCACGGGGGGTTTAAAATGGGATACCAAAGACATAGTGATTTACAGATCACACCTATTGTTTTTTAAACTCGTTTACGGTTTTTCTTTCACCCGTGTAAGTTCAAATTGAGCAATAACATATATATACCATACTATTTTCTTCTTATTTTCCCACTGGGTTTAGGAGTTCAAAT